TAATAACACAAGCTTAAAAAATGAGATCTAGTGGATTCTTAAACTTTTAGAAACATGCAATGCAATTATTTCACTTAACAGTGGAAATAAAAAAGTTTACATTGAAGGACATTATTGATATGGCTGCTGACCGTGGTGCATTCATCGATCAATCACAGTCGTTAAATATATTTATAGCACGTCCCAACTACGGCAATATTACTAGCATGCACTTTTATGGATGGCAAAAGGTATGTACGCCGTTTCTGATCTATAATATTTTTATATTTGGCCAGTTGAAAACATTTTCTTTATCCATACTTCGAGATTTTGAATTGTTATAGGGCTTGAAAACTGGGATGTATTACTTACGAACGAGACCAGCAGTTGATGCAGTGCAGTTTACTGTTGATAAAACTCGTCTGAAAGAATATAATAATGTTGATGCAGATAAAGGTTCTAAGTCAGGATCTAATTTTACCCCTAGTTCTGTTGGTGAACTAACAGCAAAAATGGAGTGTGTGATGAGCAGTGGAGGTGACTGTTTGATGTGTAGTAGCTAAGAATGGCCGCGTCGGACATTTGGCGTAGCTTTGCCATTCTTTCGGAAAAGACAAAGAATTCTTTCCTTGCATACATTCGATGTAAGTGAAGTATGTGGCGCGGATAATTTTTAATACTCTTCGAAATTTGCGAATCTTTTTGTTATAACAAGGAAGCAGAAGCAGAGTAGGAAAATTTTATGTAGTACTTCTAATTTCGATAGAAAGTGATTTAAAAAGAATATGATTGACATAGTGAATGGCGTCAAACAGCAATGTTTACATGAAAAATGTGGATTGTGTATTTGCAAATTATATTTTTCTATGTTTGTAATTTAAAATTATTAGAAAGTGAAATGCTTCTTGTAATGTTTTTAAATTTTATTCTTGAGACGGTGGATACAATATATAAGCTGATCTTTTTTCATGTTTATATAGTATTTTTCTGTGTTTTGAATATTATCAAATCCGAATTGCATTTAAAAACATTCCCTTACTTCACATGTTTAAATGTGCTATTTTCAAAATTTGAAGTTGAACTGCCTTCAGGTTTGAGTCTTACTATATTCTTCCTTCTTCATGTTTTTATCAACTTGAAATCTTCGCATATTTCCTCACGATGTTAACGTATTGACACATATTTTTTGTCTTTCGTGTTTCCTTTCTTTCTGAAAAAAAATAAAATCAGTGGTTCGAATTTGTCGGATAACAAACCGAAGAGAAAAATCAAAGAATGTTGTAGTATGATTTCACCGCTTCAAAAGTAGAATTGGAATGTAATTCAATGTGTTTTCCGGAGATCAGCAATATTCTCTAGGAGATAAAAAGTACGTTAATCCGTGAAATCCAAGCTTCCCCATGAGGTTTGGTTCTTAAGATTCCGTCATAAGGTTCAAGGCAGTTATATGCAGTGGCTCGTTTCTTGCATGCGGTGATTCGCGGTTGGTACATGTGTGATTTTGTAAGTTCATAACTGCGTAGAATTTGGTACGAATTAATGGATGGTATGGTATGTACATGATGAAGTCGCCTCTATCAGGAACATTTAGCAATTGAAAGAAAATCTGATATGAACTATGGGCATTCCACTCATTCAGGTTTTTATATCTATTATTACATGTGAATGGCAAATTTTGAAACTGAAGTGAAAATTCTGCTAAAATTGAATTTTTGTTGGAATTGAAAAGCTGGTACAATGAAGAAGGACCATTTCCAGTAAGTTTTTCATTCGTAGTATTTAAGTATTTTTTTTTCAGCTCGTGGTCGCATTTGGGCGGCAAATGTCACGCCCAATAGCCCGCAAAATTATAGCTTATGCAATTAAGCACCCATATCTTAGGAACAGAATTCTTGTTCCAGTGGGCAGAAGTAAGTTTTCGGAGGTTTTGGTATGTAATAAATAGTAGATTTCACGCTTGGGCTGAAGTGCATGCTTTGATCTAATTAATTTTAAAAATTTTGTATGATTATTGTACCTCAATTTTTGCTCTCAAATATTTTTCCGTAGCATATGTATACGTATAATGTGTGTATATGTAATAGCTATTAAACAGAAATTGCATTCTTATTTATAGGTCTGCATGCTATTTCGTTTCGTCTGCGGATCAAAAGTATAGGCCTTGCTGTTCCATCAAAAACACCAAATGTAACCGAACAACAGGCAATCGAAATGGTTCTGTTTTCAAGTGAACTGTAATCTTATTCAACTAATCGTAATCATTAGAATTTCTAATTCGTACTTTAATTTATGATTCGCTTTTCAGGCCAGCGAAACACTTGTAGAAGCACTTATCTATTTGTTAACCGTATTATTGATATATGCAATCTACCGATCAAATCCGGAAAAAGCTAAAGCCAGCGATGTAGAAAAATACGTTAAAGTATGTCTTAGTATATCATTGGTAATTCAAATATAAGAAAGTTTGATAGGTAATACAGAGCTTTGGTTTTGTAGGAAAACGAAGAGAGAATAGTAAAGTTTGAAGAGAAGCTCAAAGAACACGACGAATTAACGGTCAAGATTGTGAAGATCATCCGTGAAAAAAATCTGGTAAGTGCTTCCTTTTATGATTAGATCGGGTCCTATATGAACTGGCCTTCCACCACAACAGTTTCCAAATCAGGATTTCTAGGTGAAGTCAGGAATTTTATCAGAGATAATCTCTATTTTTGTTCAGTAAACTGGTTCGTGGAAGATAAAATTTAAATTCGAGGACTTTGTTTCAATTCACTTTGCAGGATGAGAAGAACATTTTGGCAGATAAAGGTCATAAAGGTCAACTTTTGTCTTTTATTGGTGACAAAATGAAGACACTGATGCCTGGGCAAGATAAAACATCTCGTTAGCATTAGTTGAACTCTAGCATTATAATATGTATGATTAGTTGTTTTTTCAATTACCATTTTCTGAGGAAACCTCAATTCTCCTGAAATTCCCTCGAATTCGCATATATTTCAAAACAAACACTGCTATTTTCCTCTTTTGTGCTTTGTTTTTTAGATTGACATGTATGTAAATTTGATTTAAAGCATTAAAGTTATGAGGCAACCTCATGCATCCCATCACTGATAATGTTTGATGGTTTCTAACATCATTACTTTACAGATTGTGATGTATGCTACATACATATTTTACATACACATCCCAAAATTCTGAAGGACTTTTCGCCCTAAAGTAGGGCGCTTGGTAAAAAAGCTTTCATTACTAAAACGAGAACTTAAACGAAGATTTTCAAATGTGTGAAGGTTTTCATTCCTCGATAGTAACAATTGATATAGTAGAGAGCCGGCTAAGATATCAATGTATCACTGCACTTCCTTCAACCGTTTACGGAACACAGACTTCAGTGTTCGGCACTTTTCCTCCATTACTTTGCAAGCTTCCACAACCAGTTCTGCACTTCTCAGTGCACCAGTGCTTTCAACACTAACTGAAGAAATAGCTCACTTATTTTTATTTATCACGAAAACATCGGACTTATGCTTATGAAATAAATATATCCGTATTAATTACTTATTACGGATATCTACCAGAAAGTAATACTGAAATTTGAGTTTAGGAAATCATGAAGAGAAACTTGGACGGTTAATATAGAAATTTTGCATTTACGCAGAATTGCAGTATCAAGATATCTAAGAGTATGAACATTAAAATTCATAAAAGTAGCCATAAAGTGCCAAAAAGTGATTGGAGCTTACAAATGAAATGATCCTTGATCCTTGACAGTTCAATATGTTCCGCCAGATCCTCATGTCGTAAGATATTGCGGCTGCAAGTGTCACGCCGTGCATCTCTGACAACAGCTACTCCATCTGAATTAATGAAGAATTGTTAAGATTTATAAGTCTTTGGACCTTATGCATTTTTGTTGAATTTAAAAGTATTTTAAAATAGTCCAAATACAAAACTGGATATACCAAAAAATCAGGGAAAGACGAACTAAAATGATACATTAAAAATAATACGCTCGCTAACAGTTGGTGCAATACAAGGAGAGTCACGGATTAAACAACTTAGTTGAAGTCATCAGCGTCATAGATCGTTACTTACATGGATAATAAACTGGAAAACTTTCGTTATTCAAGGGATAAGGTAGGGAGGATTGTTAAGCAGTGTCAAAAAAAAGTGTCCCAGTAAAAGCTTAACCTGCATCAATTTCAATAACACCTTCCGAAAAGGAGCTCTTGACTCTTTGTGCATCTGCACCGTTGAATTTTCTTTTCAATACTATCTGTGGTAACAAACGATAGGACGCGGTAGCAACTGGTGAAAATTTTGCATGGTCGCGCCCTAATCCTTTCATGCAGTGACACCTAGAATGAAATTTGAATTTGAACTGAACAAGATAAGTGAGCTGAGCCAAAAAGTAACTCCTGAAATGCCAAAGAGGTTGGAGTTGTTTTTTCGTAGATTTAAGTGAATTTGACTCACCTAGCTTCAATTTCTTGTCCAGGTCGTAACTGAGCAACCAGGATATCATCGTGTACCATTGCTGGTGGATACGGAAGTGAAGTAGATTGGTCACCGATTGGTACCCATTTAAATGCATTTGAATAAACAAAAGCGTTTTCGTAAATTTCCTTGGGATTTGTGGCTGTTTTCAAAGCATTTGAATTCCGACTGCAGGTAACTTTAATCTCAAAAATGAGGTTTCTGAAATGACTGCTTCTGAGCATAGAAATTTTGCCACTTCACGCATACTTTAGGACAGTGAGTTAGCCATAAAATTTTTAAGGTTGTAAGATTTTCCAACTTGTCTTCGGCAGTGATTCATACGTCTCTTGCTATATTGAGAATGCATTTTCTTAGCAAATAAAAAGCTGCTTACTCCGTTTGGATGTTATGCGGTCCCTCAAATGAAATCAATATCCGTAGCACCCATACTAAAATGATTTAGAAGTACAGAATAACTCTTCATTGCTTTATACCCCAAGACTACTTCGCAAATATTTTGGAAAATCATCTTTATTAACCTTTCCGGATCACCAGCCGGTTCTTCACTACAGTCAACGCCGGATTCGTCAGTACCAACAACCCGTGTAAGAGGTAATTTGAATAAACGTGGATCTGCTTTGATTGGAAGCAAACCAAGACGATGACTCAGTACTTCATCCTAAATTTATTAGGAAATTATCTTCTTTTCAAGGATCAAAAAATCAAAAAATAACCAAAAATATTATACCGGTATAATTGACGTATTCTGGTAGAGATAAACCTTTTCGATCGCCATGGTAGGAAGCTGCAAACAAAAAAAAATTACAAAATTTTGAAATTTCTGATTAACGACGTATACCGATGATACGGCAACATATAGAAAATACAAATGCAAAAAAATAAACGGCAAAATAACTGTGAAAATAAAATAAAATCAAAATAACTGTGCAAAAAAAATAAAATCAAAGTAACTATGAAAAAATAAAATAAAATTCTGAAATTAAAATGAAATTTAGACTGAATGGTTTGTTAAAGAAACTTACTTCGGCAATAAGTATCCTTCTGACAGCATTTGCAATTGGGGCTTCAACGCCAACTAAATCAAACTCCAGGGTCATACCATCTTCACTTTCATTTATTATAAATACTTTGATTTTTGATATGTATGTAGTCACATCCCACTGAACCGCATTGTTGCCAAAATCACTGTCAGTGTCGTATGTCTGCAAACGATCACTCCTTTTTCTTTTACACCTTGCACTAACGAATCAATTTCATAACGAGATGTCACGATAAAAAATTCATTACCGTGGACCGTTTTTTACCCAAAGGCTAATTATTTAAAGATCAAAGTGTTCGGTCATAGAGTCTTCCGCATCGATCTGATATTTTAGAAATTAACTACTACTTCATTATCCGTCACTATAATTTTACACGAAGAAAGTTACCATAAGAAAATGGAAAAAATGTTTCTCGAAAGCCGTAATATCCCCAGGATTTTCGTCATTAGAACAATATCTTGGTAACAGTGTGTTAAATGATAATTTCTATGTCAATTAATAAAGATTAAGCCTCATTATCAAGACGCAATTTACCAGCTGAAGAGCAATCATACTTCATCAACGTGATGCATAAGAGTTATAAGCAGAAACAAGAAATATAGAACTGCTGTATATATAACCATACTTTACATAATAATCATGCTTTACAAGCTTACATTTAGCACTCTTTCTGCCCCCATGACGAGTCTGTTTTCGGAATTTCGTTCACTTTTTCGATGAGATCCCTTCAAACTTCCAGGCATTATTCTGCAAAAAAAGAAAGAGACAATATGTTCGTAAAATTGTCTTTCATCAACTTTCTTTGAAAGATTCGTCTTCATCTAACTTATTGAAGTATGAAATTACCTTATCCATGTCCGGGCTACAGTAACTTAAAGAGTTTTCTAGAGTAGTGCTTGAAGTGGTAAGCTGTTCAATGAATGAATAAATAAATAATATTAACGGATAAACAGAAGGCTGAAGGTGAGTCCATGAACTGACAAACAGTAGAAGTGGTACCGAGGATTTTATGATACTTTTGATTAAAACTAATAACATATACAACAAGAATAAAAACTAAAAAGAGTACGGAATATGAATAAAATAACAAGGAGAAAACAACAACAAAAAAAAAGGTCCATCTTAAAGCTATCACAGATGCTTCTATGTCTTCTACACACCGCATCCCTAATTGAACTAATTTTTAAATAGGGAATATCAACAATTACAAATATGATGAAAATAGAATGAGCAGAGAATGAACAATAACCATATTTCATACAGATCGAAACAAAATTACTATAATGTTTATAAGAAAATCACCAGCTAGTCATCACAAATAACTGAATATATTAATGGAGCTTAAATGGTGTATCGAAGTATGGGAATGATAATATAGAAATACCGTCGAAACAAGGTGTGATATACTCCCAGACGACTCGAGTAAGTTGGAAGAAACTGTCACATATTAGCTGATAAAGCAGGATGAAACAGAGTAAATAGACATTCTTTTGAATAAATAGGCTTGACACAAGATTTTCCATAACGCCTAGTCCATAACTGGAATGAACTGGATCCAATAACTGACTGATTCCATTGATATATACAAAAAAGTACAAATGGCAAAAGAATCTCCAAAAATCGCGATTGGTATGACTCTTATTCCGACTTTACGTCCAAAAAAACATGCCTTTGAAAACGATGCGGTACAATCCACCAACATATTTAAATTCGAGCTAACTCATAAATCCTAAAGTAAATTACACTTCCAAACACCAGTTCTATAGCGAAACCAAATAAGTATCAAATCACGACCCATTTGAATCCATGATATTATGGGTACTATTTTGGAACCATCAACTTCATGCCATGTTACTGGTACTTCGCGGATTGGAATGTTGAAGTGTTCGGCGAGAAACAACAACTCAACATCAAATGCCCATTGTTCGATATGCAGCAATGGGAATAACTGCAATATGTACATATATTGTAGAATTTAATTATGAGTTTTGGAGAATGTTCTTTTCTCTAAAATCCTGTTCAAAACTTGGCAACTTTTTGGTGGAGTTCTTTTCGATAAAGTTCGAAAAAACATAGAAATACAACAAATTTATAGATTTAATCGAATTTATCAATTTGTCAGTCTTGTGCTTGCTTTACATTTTAAAATGTAGATGAATGAGAAATTACGATGTTAATGTCTATATGAGAAATGATTGAAAGCACTAATTAAGAGCCGACAACTACTCCGGTTTGACTAAGAGACCTATAGATGTCACTGTTAAATGTGCGAACCAAACATATAAAAAAATATACTACTTCTGAAATTTAAAAAAAAAAAAACAGAAAATCATAGTAAGACTTCACTTTTGAAGCTGCTCCACGTGTAAATAATTTGAATCCACACTGAGTATCACGTACTGTTCTTACAGTGAAAATATATACAATCAAATGAAAACCTATCATCAGAAAGGTTCGTGCTAGAGAACGTGTTGCTATACTCTTTTTTTCCATGTGTGATCTAAAAGAAAAGAATATACTTTTGTTTTCTTTTCTTGCATATGAAACTGCAACATGCTATCTATCTTCCATGTTGACAAAAGACTTGATATTTCAGAACATTCTCAACAACGAATTAAATTAATAGTGATCCTTGGTGCTTTAAATGGTGATAGAACTGGCTCATTTCTAGAGAGAAGTGAACGAATGCCTGAGAAACTTCAAAGTGGAAATTGACTAAAATTAGCGCAAGACAATTTAATCCTCTTAGAAATCAAAAGACTTTAAAACCTATACATGTTTCAATCAGTGTTTTGAACAAAACTTTCATTTTTTTTAAACAAACAGAATTATTATGTTTAACAATTCTTCACTGAAGCAAATTCCTTATCCGAACAAGATAAACGAACCTTGAACCAATAACTATAGCAGGAGTAATCCATTCAAAATTGGCTCTTGTTTCTGAATTACAGCCATTTAGAGTTGTTAAACCAAGTAATTCTTTCTCCACATGCTGAAAATCGGCAAATTTCGTAGCACCATCTGCATCTGCGAATAGAATTAATGAACCACGTGCGCATAACACGCCTCTACGTACTGCTCCACCTATAACAGTATTATCACCAGTTAAATTTCCAGAAAATAAATGAAATTACCTTTTCCCAGGTTTTTTCCTAGCTTTAAGACTCTGATCTTTCTCTCGTACTTCTCTGCGTATTGGTATGCTGTATCAGCAGTTCCATCTGTGCTACCATCGTCTACCACAACAATCTGCAACAGAGCCATGAGATATCTTACAAAATAAACAATGGATTTACTTCGATATTGTTTTCGATAAAATTATCTTCCCAATTGAAATACATTAAACCTTTTTTCCAATAACTTCTAGTTTTTATGCAAATTAATATCGTAAAAGAAGAGAACAGCAACGTTCCTGTTATACTCCTCACAATGAAAATATTGAAATCAAGAGATAAAAGAACATTCCGAATCCTATCTTTCATTTTCATAACTGAGAAGTTACGTTTTTCTCTTTGATCTCATCTTGGAAATACCTCAACTTGAAATTTTTATTTAGAAGTATTCATTTTTAATGTTAGTTTTATAAGATATTTACCTCATATGTAAATGAATCATCTTTAGATTGTCGATTTTCCAAATAGGGTAGACATTCATTCAGCATAATCGGAAGCCTTTTCTAGAAATTTCGATGTTATACATTCAGCTCAGCTAATCTCCTATATTCCTTTTAAAATCAAATGTAAACTTTAAAAAACAGCATTATAACCAAATCTTGGGGTAATGGAAATTTTTTCTAAAAAATGGAAAAGTTGACCACAAATGTTATTAAAGTAGAATCGAAGAGTTAATTAATTACAGAGAAAATAAGGTTGACAAAGGTAATCATTACTTGCTCATTCATGGCAGGAATAATAATGGAAAGATACAAATCTGGCTTGGTGCAGTGAAGCTCTCCGGACGAATCATTATCACAAGTCAGCAATGATCGAAATTGTTCGCTTTCAGGGTTCGTCGGAGTGTAGACAAACATTGGCTGTAACAGGTCTTTTCGTGTCCGAATAGGCCAAGGAGTAACCCATGACAGGAAACAAAGGCAGGTGATAGTGATGGGAATACAAGACATCAAGAACCCTAATAACACCGTTATCAAATCCATAGATAGACTGAAATATCTCACATTCTTCTTCTTTAATTATTACCCAACAAAGTTTATAAACGAAATAATGAATACTATTATTACTACCACTAAAATATCCCTACAAAATAATAAAGAAAAATTGTAGGAACACTGGAACAATTAAAATGTCGGATTAATAGAACTAAGTCTTATATATGACCAAATATCTTGATATGAGTCACAAATGACACAGACATTCTACCCTCGTGTTTCTCTTGTAATAAGAACTAAAAAGAAGAACAAGTACCAGTATGATTTTTGGGATGCTGCTACTGCAAGCCTCGTCTTAAAAATGAGCCTCAATTAAGATCGTCAGATGAATGAAAGCATAAAATAATACTAATAATGTAATTAAAAATAAATTATTAATGTGCCAGTTTGTTGTGCAAAAAAAAATACACATTTCTGTCATAAAAAAATAAAGTATCTTTCAAAATTAGATCCATACACAACCTCATATATTCGCGAAAACACGGGCGACATCGTCAGGAGAGCATTGTTAAACTGAAATCGCAACTTCAGCATAAGCCTTCCAATATAGACGTCTACGAAACTTTTTGTACCAGTATAACGATAACTTCAAAAAGAGCGAACCTTTGGACTTATACCCATCTTTATATTACACGTACGAACCACAGTTGTCATTAGACGTAAGTCGTAGCATAAATTACCGGAGTTAATACCAGTCGAGAACTAATCGATACTGAATTGTTTATGTTAAAGTTCGGGCTAATGGCAGTTTCACATAGAGAGAGAATGTTTTGCATTGAAATTTTAATTATAATTGACAGATGAGATTTAATCATCAAAATCATTTATGGCATTAAATTCATGAATAAATTAAGAAAAAGTGAAATAGATAGGAATAATTTTGTAATGCCATTGATCACGTGGGACACAATACGGTCTTGTCCAGAGAGTATTCACATTTCGTGCTGGACAATATGCACCAATCGTATACCATTGTACAAGAAGTCGGCTAGATGGCTCTTCTTTCATTGCTACCTTATTTGTCATTGTTATTTCAGCCTAAAATAAATGAAAAAATTTCAACTGATTCGATCAATTAAATTTATTTCAGATATTTGCTTTGATTACAACCTATTATTTCGATTATCATTTTGATTATTCATTATTTCGATTATCATATAATTTTCCATTTGCTAATTGTTTCATCAATTTTCAGTATTATTTTTTATGTTTAAAGTTTAGGTGTAGATGAACTTCTTCTCCCTCGAAAGTTCACAATTTAATTGTTTGAATTTATTACTTTGAATTAATTCAAAATATGACGTAGAATCTTGCAGCTGTATTTTCTGTTTCATGAATTTAATGAACTGTAATTATTATTTATGATTTCAATTATTGTCCATTTCGATTATTTATTTATTTATTTATTGATCGCTCATTTATCTTAGTTGCATAGGTGAAAAATCTCAGATTTGATTTATTTTATTTTAAATTTTTATAAAATATACTCACAGCGCTAACACGTCCCGGTGGCAATAGAAATTTGGTTGGATGAATGTTTAATGCACCATTGTTGTTGGTAAGAAGTCGAATAGCAACCCATTGATTGCTGTAAGCATTTCTCAGATTAAGGATTCCATTACTATCGCAGTTGACGACGAATGGCTAAAAATTATTTGTTTTTGTAATAAAAAAAAAGTATTGGTGGTAATAATTTGAGAAATGATAGTAAATGAGGTAGCAGTAATTAATTAACCAATGCTGTATAATAAATATTAAAGGATAAAAATTAAATGAAAAATCTCGGTGAAAGATTGAACTGTGAGATGAACTGAACAAAAATGAAATCATAAAGTATCGATAAAATAATAGGTAGAAACTAAATAAAAAAAAATCATATCACTAGATTTGTCAAGATCATTAATTCATTTAATTTTCCGATAATGGTACGATTTATCAGCCTATCAGACTAATGGATAAGGTCTACTCATTAAATCATCCTGCTTAATGCATCTTTTGATTCACGGAGAAATTTGTTATTTATTTGGCTTATGTTTATCAAATAAAGATGACTGTTTCCTGAGATTGCTAACCTCTGGTGTAAGTTCGATTGTGCCATGGTTGGCATGAAATGATATAGAATGTGCCGTACTCATTGATATATTGCTTACTTGTTCAAGTGATTCCGCTTCTTTATTCATTAAAGGATCATCTTTCTCGTTACCGCTTGATTCAGTTAATCGGTTGATAATCAGGAGAATGACAGTTATCATACATAAGGCGTTAATCAAGTATGCAAGTATCACTGCCACCTATTTTGTTTTGTTTTGTTTTTTTTTTGTCTCTCTCTCTCTCTCTCTGATATTTTTAAATTTTAAGTGGAATTTCTTCATTTGCAGATTGCAAATTGTGTAACATGTAATGATGATAAAGGTAGTAGTTATAAATGAAGTTATCGATGAAAGTTATTAGCTAATATTGGGAGTTTGTTTAAAGGCATTTTCAAATAAGATTGTGGTTTGAATTTTAGATTTTAAAAAACGATGATCGGAGTGAAAATTTGTTTGTAATATCATCAGCTGATTTTGATGAATGAAAAATCTATAATTTGAATTTTATTTATAAGAGGAATATATTTTGAATATTGTAGTAATTCATCGTCTAAAATTCAGATTGAAAGTTTAATCAAAGTTAGATTCGAAGTATATCTCAACATGGAAATGAATCTATTTTGATTATGAAGAAAACATTCAAATTACATCCTAAAAAGACTGGTTTAAAATGTTTGAGTTAAATTTTACCATCCAATGTTTCGTTTTAACAGTACATTCCAAATGAAATGATTCCTTAAATGAATTAATTTCGTTGCCCATGAAATATGCTGATAGATAATAAATAATTGCTAGTATAACATTACAGTATATCATGAATGTTTTTATTGCATACCCACGCGAAGATTCTTCACTAACCTGCAGAGAATTTCAATTTAAAATGGAAAATTGAAAATTAATTTATTACCCTTTAAATGTCATTGAACTTTTCTACAGTTGTAATTTATCATGATATGCCTTTGAATTTTTATATCATATTCCTGATTGAAAAATATAATTTTCTATTTGAAGAAGTAAGAGTATTTTAAACAACATACTGTAACAATCATGTAAAATACAAGAGTTGGAATATGTATGAGTGGTAGAAAACCGAACGGAATGAAAAATAGGCATAACGGTGAAGTTTTGTTAAATATTTGTGGTAGGAATATTAATTCAGCAATATTGCGTTCTACACCATGATTTCTACAGGTTGCAATTGCTGGAATCCATGATGAAAGAAGCAAACATGCCGAAATAAGTATCTGAATACAAATTTATATGTTGCTTCTAGTGAAGTAATTTTCGGATGAATATATTAATGCATTTGTTGATCAGTTTTTTAGGATTGAATTTTCTCTTAAATCTTTTCAGGCTTTTAGCCTATTATCTATGATATCATATCTGAATTATTCATCTCTTATTTGATTTCTTCCTTTCCTATTCCTAAATTAAATGGTTACTTTTGTTTAATTCTTAATAAAAATGTAATTAATTGATTGATGTAATTGTACTTACCTTTAAAGTAATTAGGAGAAGTGAACATTTTTGGGTGTTACTTAAAGTATTGCGCGGAAATAATAATGAAAAATTTTTCGGTGTAATTTTTATGTATCGCCAATTGATGTAATACAAGAGAACATTCCATGGTACAATGATAAATGCTAGTCCAATTAGTAAATATAGAATATGACCGCTGTTTAATTCGCGTTGCATCGTATCGACGATCCATTGCTCATTACATCGTGATACAGTGCAATAACACAATTTTGTATTCTCTAAAAATTATGAATGATATTTTTCAAAAATTTTTTAATACGTTCGAAATGGTATTTTAATGATACTTTAAATTATGATACTGATACTATAAATTATGAATGATATTTTAATATGTTAAATTTATTGAAATTATGAATGATAAATCTAGAAATATAAAAACAAAAATAAGGCTCAAAAAATTAGCATTAATTTAAACATTTTTATTCATCAAATTTGTAAATTATCAATATCTGCTAATGAATTAAATGATATAGAATGATTTCACCTTTAATTTAAATTATTGCAGTATGATTTCACCTTTAATTTAAATTATTGCAAAATAATTTCACCTTTAATTTAAATTATTGCAGAATGATTTCACCTTTAATTTAAATTATTGCAAAATAATTTCACCCTTAATTTAAATTACTGCACAATCATTTCACCTTTAATTTAAATTATTGAAAAATGATTTCACCTTTAATTTAAATTATTGCAAAATAATTCCACCTTTAATTTAAATTATTGCAAAACAATTTTACATTTAATTTAACCAATTATGGTTGTCAATTGTAAATGACTAAAATATATTCTAATATTGCTAGCATGAATGAAATATATATGCCTGATGAAATGCAAATTTGCTGATAATTATCATTTGGTGGTATGTAAGCATGTGCAATTGCTTGTTGATTTTTTGGTTGATCACAACCGAATTCTTCAAATTTCCCATAAATCGTTGCAAATAAGAGATGATGGCAATAATTGATTGCTTTGCATAAAATCTCTCTACCAGAACTCAAGCAAATCACACGATGATGATTCGTTAAATTCCTGTCGTAAAAGAAAAACGAATTTTTTTTTTAGGAAAGTTTAAAGTCAAAAAAGAAATTTAACTTTTAGAAAAATTTTTAAATTTATAACAATAAATTATTTCTTTTAGTAATTTTTAAATATGCCATAAAAAACCTTTTCGTTAATTATTTGCAGGCAAAAGAAAACAATAGGATGGAAATAAAAGGTGATGAAAAACAGATAAATACCTTAGAAAAAACAGGTAAATATCTTAGTACTCATCCTTTAGAAGATAATCAGTACCTTAGAAAAAACAGGTAAATATATCGTAGTACCCATCCTTTAGAAGATAATCAGTATCTTAGAAAAACAGATAAGTACCTTGCTTGGTATCCACCCTTTAGAAGATAAGTACCTTACCTTAGTATCCACCCTTTAGAAGATAAGTATCTTACCTGTTTTTCTTTACCTTTTATTCCATTATCTTTTTAACTCTCTCAAAAATTGCTAAGAAAAAGATAACAAATTCTAATCGATCAATTAATTTTGCAAATCTTCTAAAACTATTCATTTTTGCAAATCATTAATATTTTCCTATTGCTTTTTGTTGTAAATTATTTTGTTCATTTTTCTTTTTTTTTTGTTGAAATTTTTGTCGGAAAAAAAATTTTTCTAATACTGTCAAGAATTTCATGTAATCTGCCGAATAAAATTCAAGTTTTAAATTTTTGAATTCCCTTTTTTTTTTTCCCTTTCTTAAAACAAAAGTAAATTAAAAAAATTTTTTCGTCAGTTTTTTCAATAGCTTGCAACATTTTTCACTGAATTATAGTAGAAGTCGTCGATAACGATAGCATCTTTTCATTCATCGTTTTGCCGCAAATATTACAATTTCACAAACACCGTAAACCAAACACACTACTTTAAAGCACTAAATTTTGTATGAATGACCGCTTTCCCGTAATTTCGTCATTTTCAAATTGTTGTTAAAAAAAAAAAGATGCAAATTCATAGAAGCTTATTTGAATTTCTAAAATTTGTTCATATTTAAATAAAATTTTTCCAATTTTGCAAATTTTCATAATTTTATGAGGTACCATTGATTAGAATTTGATTATTGACATATCTTCTTCATCCGATCAATAATGATATTCACAATTTACTAGATTTCATTTATTAAAATTTGTTAATTGATATATCTTCTTCATCCGATCGATCATTGATATTCACAATTTATTAAATTTCATTACCATTAGAATTTGTTAATTGACATATTCTCTTCATCCGGTCATTGATATTAGAATTTGAATTGACATATCTTCTTCATCCGATCATTGATATTCACAATTTATTAAATTTCACTCATTAGAATTTATTAATTGATATATCTTCTTCATCCGATCATTGATATTCACAATTTATTAAATTTCACTCATTAGAATTTATTAATTGATATATCTTCTTCATCTGATCATTGATATTCACAATTCATTAGATTTCATTCATTACAATTTATTAATTGACATATTTTCTTCATCCGATCATTGACATCATAATCCGATTGAAATTTGAAAATTGCGATATAGTTCTTTGAAGTTGTTTAAAAAAGAAAATAGTAAATAATAGTTAGCTATTGCTTTGCATATTCCGATAAATTTCTTTATCAACGAAGGTCAACATGAAAAACTTTATTTACAGATAAGAAACGATCAATAGAAAGTTAAGATATTGAAGATTAAGAGAAGTTATAAGAAATTTTATAAGTTATATATTTTCATAAATAATATAAATTGAGAATTAAAACAAAAATAATTCAATGAAAGTTTTATATTTTAGGAATAAAAAAGTTTGTGAGAGAAGAAAATTACGAATACTTATTATGATTATGATTTATGATTTATGATTACAAATTATGAATGAAAACAAATTTTGATTGAAACAATACTTCAATCAATACATTTGAATATTTGTGCACGTCTTTCGATTTAATAGTGAGTAAACAAAACGATAGGCTATGTATACATGAGCGTTTCAATAATTATATATATTATATATAATATAAATGTATAAAATGAAGCATATATATTATTTATATATGTATAAAAATACCGCCCATTACCCTCACTAAGATTTTATTGAATTCATTTAGATTGATGATAAACTTATTGACAGCTTCTAGGAGAAGCTGTCAATAACAGAAATATTTAAAATTTTTAATAGCATCATCAAAAATTTCTCATTTGTTTGTTTATTATGAATAATTGCAATTCTCAGAAACTATCAAATTTTTTCAATCTTTTTTGATACTTTTTCATTTAAAATTATATTGAAATTTTTTCTAGTTTAATTTTGCTTATATTGTTGACAGCTAAATTTTTAAAAATTTCAAAATATTATTTAAAATGGAGAAATAATTTTGGTTATTATAATTCTGAGTAATTTTCTCAATTCTTGAAATTTATACAAATTTTTCAAAGAAGAAAAAAATCATAACATGATTAATATTACTTAAATAATTAATTAATGCTAAAAATTTTTAATCACCTTTTGTTAAACTATCATTCAATTTTTATTGTTTTTTTTTAGTTTGGAATTCTTTAAGAACCAAAAAAGAAGAAAACGAAATTGTTGGATATTTGTTTATCTATTTTTCACCATAGAAATCAAAATATGGATTGCAATCAGAATTATCTCCTAGTCGTGTGATATTTTGCCATGCACCACAACAATTCAGATAACCGGGAGATTTTGAATCGATAGATGATAAGAATGGTTTAATGTAACATGGCTCAGTGAATCGTGTTGTTGCTAATTCCTTGATTGCTGTATAAGTTGCCAATCCACCACCAATCACTCCAAACACTTCAATAATATATGAATCACTTAATGCTTGTAATGCTTTTGAAAGAGAAAATATATATATATACATATTAAAAAAAAATTGCTGAAAAGAATTAATTTTAGTTTTAGAAAATTTTTACTTTTCATTTTCATCAAAAATATTTTCCTCCTAAAAATGTAAATAATAAAATACCAAAAATAAAATACTATCCTAAAATAAAATACTTACTAGGAATATAAATAATAAAATACTCTCCAAAAAATAAAATACTATCCTAAAAATGTAAATAATAAAATACTATCCTGAAATTAAAATACTATCCTAAAAATAAAATACTTTTCTAAAAATGTAAATAATAAAGATACTATCCTAAAATAAAATACTTCTTAAAAATGTAAAAATAAAATACTATCCTAAAAATAAAATACTTTCCTATAAATGTCAATAATAAAATACTATCCTAAAAATGCAATTATTCCAATAAAACTTCCCTATAAAAATAAAAATAAAATATGGCTGAACATTGATCTCTCTTTTATACAATGTTTTCCCATTTATATATATATATCTATATTTTGAAAAGAGCAATATTAAAACGTTTAATCATATCAATGCAAAAATTTTCATCCCTAAATCGGTTAAAATCCATTCAAAGCTCTTAAATATTACTATTTTGTTTATGAAAAATTTTTCAAACTCTGCTCATAATATTATATACATATAATATGATAAGTTAAAATTCAGTAACAAAGTTAAGTATAATAATCTCTTATACATTCACAATAATAATTTGTATGTATGAGCATTTGTTCATGTTTATAGTTATCATTACTGACAGACAACATATGATCAGACAAATCATATGATTCAGTGTTTTAATTCCATCAATCATATAATATTTTTGTTTTCTAAGAAAGAAAAATTCTTACTAAAATAATTAAATTAAATGAAATAATTGTGAAATTTTATTAATTGATTAATTAGAAAATAAATTGTGTAAAAATATTGATAGCTGAAATCAATAAATTGTGTAAAATATTGATAGCTCAAAATCAATAAATTGTGTAAAAATATTGATAGCTGAAATCAATAAATTGTGTAAAATATTAATAGCTGACATTAAAATCTACATTTGATAAGTGATATACGTGTGACCTTATCTTAACATTGGATTCTTTTATTAAAATCCTTATCTTATCGACATATCATTTGTTGCTAATTAATTAACTCGATCATTTCAAATTATATATATTTTTTTCGATTATGCAAAATATAAATTAATCATTGAAGAAAGATTAAAATAAAATTTTATCATTGACATAGAAGAAAAAGTAATAATTAACTTACCAATAATTAATAAACAAATTATCAAACGTCGTCTTGGTGATCGTATCAACACTCTAAAAATACCAAAATACCATGCTATATTGGAAGGATTATTAATTATGGAAACAATTTGAATTTTAATTTTTTTAATTACTTATTTGTTTTTTTTGAAATTAAATAAAACCATTAGGAAAATATAGATAGCTGATGAAAGTTATTTTTTTAATTTCTTAATTCCACAGATCAATCGATTGATCTAACAATAAATACAATTGTTTTAAAATAAATGAATCAAACTAACTGAGTAAAAGGAGGTATCTCATCGATCTTTTTCTTTCCTTTTTCTTCCGCTATTTCATCGCCAACTGTTAAATACAAGTAAAATAAGCATGGGAAGATGAGTGATGTTAAAGTTAAGGTTGAACTGCCAACTAAACCTAACAGTGGTCCAAATGATGGTAAACTTTCTGCAGCAAAAACTACAGTTAACATCATTCCCGTTCGAACCAATACTCTTTGCCAACAAAAATCTGAAATTGATGATTTGTGATGAATTCATGATGAAAATTAACAAATCATTATTATCCTCTGCTATCAGTCTTACTATCATAACAATAATAATAATTCTTATCATTACAATTCTTATTGTCTGTTTTATCAATATTACCATTATTAATATAATTATGATTACAACTGCTAAAATTACTATCATAATCAATAAACCTATTTTTGTATTATCCTCTGCTATCTGTCTTACTATCATAACAATAATAATAATTCTTATCATTGCAATTCTTATTGTCTGTTTTATTAACATTATCATTATTAATATAATTATGATTACCACTATTAAAATACTATCATAATCAATAAGCCTATTTTTGAAACTTTTAAAAAATTTAATTATAATTTAAAGGAAAAAAAAACGAACGATGTGGAACGCCGAAAATTTCCTCAGCTTCCTGATTAAGTGGATTAAATACAATGGTAAGTGTAAGTATGCAATGAAGTGTGATCAAAATATTAGCACCCTGTTGTAAAGCAGTATTTTGAACGGAATTAAGAACCGATTCATGTAATGAATTTCCATATGTTAAATAAGCCAGAATGCAAACCGGTGTATAAAGCATATACACAACTATAATTACAGTACATCGTTACTTTCGAATTATTTTCAATTTCTCATTTAACTCATTAAAAAGTTAATAATTTATAAGAATAATTTAAATTTAAAATATGATAATTAATTAAAAATAAATAATAATTATATGTCATATAATTAACCGGTGTATAAAGCATATACACAACTATAATTACGTTACTTCTATCGTTACTTCAGAATTACTTTTAATTTCTCATTTAATTCATTAACAACTTAATAATCTATGAAATTGATTTAAATTTAAAATATGATAATTAATTAAAAATAAATAATAATTATATGTCATATGATAAAATTAAATATTTACTCTTTTAGCTGTCATTATCAATATGCTTAGAATATGTATAATTGTAAAATCTTAAGATTTCATGCGATCAAAAATGATCGATGTGTAAAAATAGGAAAAAAATTGTTGAATTAATTTTAGCTAAAATTAAGAAAATATGAAAAATCAAAATTTAACTTACTAAAGAATGCCAAAATAGAAGATCGTGTGAAATGATACGGTTTACGCATATCATGAAGAATTGTTGGAAATGCAGCATGTCCGCCATACGAAAATAACGTCGTTCCAAGTGCAAGAAAATAATTCGTTGGCATAAAATTAGTATTAAAGGCTCGTTGCGGTGAACAAGTGGAATAATCCATCATAGCACCAATCATAACCATAATTAAAGCAAGCATTGTTGTAATCATTGCCAATATTATCGCCCACCTATAAAACAATTAATCATAATAAATTGAAATAATCTAAATTTAAAAATTACAAAATTATTTTAAATCTTTTAATTTAAATGAATTATGCAATAAATATTGGAAATTTGATATTTCAACAAGTTTTTAACATTTTTAAAAAGTTTTCCAATTTTGATTTAAATTTTCTCAAAATTTCAATTCACATAATTTCATTATGTTAGTATTAGATTATAGAATATGTTAGTGTATTAGATTATGGGAAAATTTTTTTACAGGATTTATTTTGCATTATTACAAAAATGGAATTACCAAAAATCTTGCGGTGATTTCAAAAATGTGACTGGTAGGAGACAAATACCAACTACTAATATCATAAAACAAAATGATATTTCAATTTTGAAGAATGCATCGATAAAATCGCTTATATTTTTAGCTGATAATATCAGGTAGACAACAGCGATACCAAATTGTGTTATGTCAATACACACTGATACTAAATGCCTAAACAATGGGATGATTATTAATTAATTAACTTGCAATATTTTAAAATTAATTAATAAACTAATTCAAATATATTATTATACAGTGCCATTTCTATTTCCATTTGAGACATTTCCGAATATTCATATTTTTCATACCGTATTTCTGTACTTTAATTATATTCACGAAAACCTTCACATTAGAAATTCACATTTGAAATGATACATATTGTAAAAAAAATTCTTCTTTAAATAAGGATGTTAGAAGAACTGACTCAAATAAGAGGTCATAGTTCAGCTTAGCTTAATTGTTTTGTCATCAAAATATTCTTAAATATTTTGCTTAAAACCTAATATTAAATAACTACTACTTTTTATACGTACAAATCTTCAAAAACAGTAATTCAGAAACAATGAATTCTTTCAACTTAAATTTTATTGGTTTTATTATTGAATTTGAAATTTACACAAAACTATTATAGTCTTACTTTATGACGTTGCCCATTGCACGTCCACCCATTTCAGGATACGGTTTCCGACAGTGTTCACGATATTCTGGCCATCTGCGTTGCAAAATTACCCAACCAAGACCTAACATATGTGCTGTATATCCCATTGCAAAAGCCATTAATGTGTTCATTATTAAACCGGGCCAGAAATCTGTAAAATTCAAAACTATAATTTCAACTCTTAATTTTATTATTTGTAAATCTGAAATAACGATGAAGTATTTTTGTATAGAAAAAATAAAAATTTAATATCCTAAAAGTTTTAGTTTGAATATTTAACCATTAAGTAAGTTTACTTGTTTGCACAATAGCTGCCGGTAATGCGACAATTCCGCCACCAGCTAAATCACCGACCAGAAAAAAACTTGTTATAATCCATCCCAATCCTTGTTCATTACGATGTCTTTCATTATTCTTATTTTCTTCATTTTCCAAAACAAATGACCCAACGCTTATCATAGCTTTTTCTTTAGTCATTGTTTCCTAAAATTAAATAAACTTAACAAATTCTAATTTATCTTGAAAAAAAAAAAGATGACCGATAATATTATTAATTATAAAATTAAATAATCTTAATAAAATTATTAATTATAAAATTAAATAATCTTAATAAAATTATTAATTATAAAATTAAATAAACTTAATAAAATTTTATAACACGACGAGCACGTTTATTCCTAAATTTAATGAAGTTATGAAAGAAAAAACTAATTTCTTTGAAACACGAATATTTACTTGCTAGCATCAAATTGAAATGTGTCAATGCTAACAACCATTTTATCTC